ATATATATATATATATATATAATAATAATAAAATTTTAATTATATTATGTTAGTTATCCAATATTATAAGTAAAAATTGAATGTTGTCACCGTTATTTTTTGGCTTTAAAAATAGAATGACTCAGCTATGGAAATTGGAAAGCTATCCATGAATCAATCATAGCCAAAACTCCTTGTTAAACGAGATAGTATGAAAATGGGACATCTAATTAAATAAAGTATAATTTAAGGTCATTTTGTTTTAATTTGAAAGGACATAAAAGAATATGACCAAGTCATAAAAGCAAGACTTAAAAAAGACAACATTGGATTATCCTCAAGTGAATTCGACTGGTCCTTGTTACATAGTCAACAAAGGCCTCTATTATGTCCACCCAGAGTAGCACCATCAGAAGAAGAAAAACCTTTCCTCGATCGGTGACAATCCCTCGTTTTTGTCACCTTCTAGCAAGCTTGGGAGGATGAAGGCAACAAAAACAATCAAACAAAAAAAAAGTAATAATTAAGCAAAAAAAAAAAAAAAAAAAAAAAAAAAAAAAAAAAAAAAAAAAAAAAAAAAAAAAAAAAAAAGGAAAAATGAACGACTTATTCTCAAACTCGTTCAAGAAATACAGCGACCTGAAGGAACAAGCATACCTGGATGACGTGGAGGCCGGGAAGGAAAGCGTGAACCTAGACAAATTCTTCGAGGACGTCGAGGATGTTAAGGAGGACATGCGGAGCGTGGAGAAGCTCTACAGAAAGCTTCAAGAAGCAAACGAAGAGAGCAAGATCGTGCACAACGCCAAAACCATGAAGGACCTTCGAGCCAGAATGGACAAGGACGTCGAGCAGGTTCTGAAGCGTGTCAAGCTCATCAAAGGCAAGCTAGAGGCGCTGGAGCGGTCCAACGCGGCCAACCGGAGCCTCCCCGGTTGCGGAGCCGGTTCCTCAGCGGACCGGACGCGGACCTCGGTGGTGTCGGGGATGGGGAAGAAGCTGAAGGACATGATGGACGACTTCCAGGGGCTGCGGGCGCGGATGCAGATGGAGTACAAGGAGACGGTGGAGCGCCGCTACTTCACCGTCACGGGGGAGAAGCCCGACGAGGACACCATCGAGAACCTCATTTCGAGTGGCGAGAGCGAGAGCTTCCTGCAGAGGGCGATTCAGGAGCAGGGTCGAGGGCAGATTATGGACACCATTTCGGAGATTCAGGAGCGGCACGACGCCGTGAAGGAGATTGAGAAGAACTTGATTGAGCTGCACCAGGTGTTCTTGGACATGGCGGCGCTGGTGGAGTCGCAGGGGCAGCAGTTGAACAACATCGAGAGCCACGTGGCGCATGCCAGCTCCTTTGTCCGACGTGGCACGGAGCAGCTCCAGGATGCGAGGGAGTATCAGAAGGGGTCCAGGAAGTGGACTTGCTATGCTGTTATTCTCGGCATTGTGCTCCTTGTTGTGCTCTTGTTCCCTCTCTTGAGCTCGCTCTTGCCTCATTTGTTGATGAGGTGAAAATGAACACCATTGCATGCTTATGTTTCTGGATTCCCATAGATTAGAAACACGACAACCTTATATATGTAAATATGTAATAATATAATATATAATAGCACCTTCGCGCAGTTTTGGAATCACTCGGACTGGCCTTTCTTTTAAGATAGGGAAATCAATAACTAATTAAAATTCATTTTTTTTTATTTAAAAATATGTATGCTTTTATGCCTTCATTATTAAAATGGTAAAAAAAAAATCTATTTTTATTTGATATTTTTTGTTTGGGGTCTAGATCTGCTTTGTCAGTTGTCCAACGTATTTTAGTATTTCCATTTTGGACCCGTTTTCAACATGTTTTGAGGGATATAGAGAACTATTTTGATATTGTCAAACACAATTCATTAGGACTCCAAATCGACAAAACCATCAAATTGTCTGATTCCGTTCAAAAATAAGTTCTTGTTTGATTTTTTTTTTAAGAAATCTTCATTTTAATAAAATAAATCTCAAACGTATAGATTTAAGATTTTATTTCATCTGAGACATCATACAAAAGGTGTGATTTATGTCAATAAAATTAGCACCAAAGATAATCATACAAATATGTTAACCAAGGTCATTCCAACTTCTAAGTTTGAACTCTGTCTAGACTCAGTAAGCATTCGAATACTTGGGAAGTAAAGTTTCAAGTCAAAAACTTGGACATCTATTAGAGCTGAAGCTGTTCATGAAGACCCAAGGTGGAGATTTGTAGAATTGAGTAAATCCTCATTAGCTTATTTGTTGTTATTAGATGTTATTGTTGTTTTAGTTAAGTGATAGTTGGAGAAGTCTTGTTTGTTAAGGTAGTTATTTATGTTAATAACTAATATAGGCTTGTTATCTCCTCTTATATAAAGTCTTAGCTAGGTGTTCATAAAGTGATGATACACAAATATAGTGATGCGGTACCTTCGTTGAGGAAGAAGAGATATAAAGTGTGAGATAACAACTCTTGTAAAGTTCTTGTAATCTTTTTCAATAATAAGGCCTAAAAGTATCTTATTGAAGAGTGGATGTAAGATTCAATTCGAACCGCTATAATTTTTTGTGTTCTTCTTTCTAGTTTCATGTTTTTCTATTATGCATTGCACTATTGCATTATTGATTGTTGTTGAACAAAACTTACAAAAATAAATAAACTTTAAAATTTGATCTAGATTTAGTGATGACTAACTTAGAATGTCTTCAACCTAAAAACTTATAGACAAGAAGTGTAAAATATAAGTAATAACACTATTTATATTAAAATTAGTTATTGTTTTATAAAATTTACAAAAATTTAGCAACATTATTAAAATATTACAAAAGCACCAATCTAATACCATTTTAAAAATATTGTCATTTTAATATGTAAAAATATTGTTAAAAGTCTTTAATGACATAAACTTTATCTTATATTTGATAAAAACATTACAAAAATATATTAGCAATATTTTTCTAATATTGTTAAACACACAATTTGTTGTAGTAAATGAATGTCTCTTTACGAGTCATTGTACATAATATTATGACCCAAAGGCAAAAGTCTATAATTTTATGTATAAGTTTTTAGTTTAGAATATAATAAAACAATATCTAACAAATATTTTCTAATGATATTGTTATATTGAGATGTTTAATAATCACCTTTAAAGTCTATGTTGTTGGAGAGTTGAAACACCGAATAACACTTTCATAAGTGGCGAGTAAATCACATAAGGAAAACTTTTTTTTAAGAAAATTAGCAAGATGAAAACTTTCATTAAAACTTGTATAGTTAAAAAGATAAGAGTTTAGGTCATTTAAAAAGTTTATTTAACTTACCAAACAATTTTTTTAAAATAAAATAAAAAATAATTTTTTTTTATTATTATATCAAATTTATTATAATAATATAATAAAATCATATATTAGAATTTTGTGTAGGCTAAAGTAATTAATGCTTACAAAGTTACAATTTGAAAGAGTAAAATGGAAATTCAGTCCATCTGTATGTATTCAGCCTAATTCGGATGTGTATTGTATATTTTTTTTCACCAAAGATATACGCCGACTAAATTGAAGGCTAATTCTTTTCGAGATATAAAAATTAAAATGGGTTTGTGATTTTCTCAACAAAGTTTTTTTTTTCCAATAAAGACAAAAGGGGAAAAATATATTAAAAAATAATAAAAGTGATAAATTATGGGTGATATGATAGAAAAAGAAGTGAGTCAGGAAGAAAATGAAGTAGAAGTGAGATGAAAAAAGATGATAATAATTTTCGTAATTTTGCACGACGCATTCAAGCTTCTATGTTAGGCAGCAAATTAAAGGTTCGATCAACGCCTGTTTAAATGGCATATTGAATGACTGCATTTCTATATGTTGCAGCCATTTTCTATGTCCCAGAAAGCCTCATTTTAACTAAAATGTGCTTTCTATTATCACACATCATGACCATACCCTTGATTTGATTATCTTAATTGGCAAGCATAGCTCATAATTAATGTTCTTGTAAAATGGTAATCAGCTTCTGGCCTTAACATTAGTGTCCTTAAAATGATATATATACGCAACCATTCTATGCATTTAGATACCAATACTTTTAGCTAAGAAAAAGACGGAACAAAACTGCTCGTCACTAACACCTCAAAAAGGTTTTGGTCATCATAGAGAGAATATCTTTTCCTGTAATTATAGTTTAATTTTTGTCTTCTGTTAAAAAAAAATGGATGAAAATACGATTGTATGTTATAAGGGATTAAACTAGTGTCAATTTTTACACACAAGGCAAACAAAATAATGGAGTTAAACTTCAGGGGTAAACTATAACTAACCATGAATCAACAGGTATACCAACTCTTTTTGACTTGCAATTTACCAAACAAATTCTAGGTAACTGTCGCTTTCCTTTTATTATTATATCACGTACACACGATCCAGAAGTTCAGTACTTGATATGAAACACACCACTTTACATTTCATCAATTTATCAGGTCCCATGACTGGGGGTAATAGCCGCGATTTATGGCAGTGTACCATTTCTTATACACCCTATCTTCCACTAGAGCATCATTTGTATCGGTGTATCAGCTATAGTGTATTTTCACGGAAGCATGTTTACTAATATAATCTGTACGTCTATTAGCAATTAAAATCACCGAGAAAAAGAAATCAGAAGGGAAGTATTTAGGATGCTGATAAGATGATCAAAACAAAGACATAGAAGACTAGTAAAAAAACATATTTTTTCCAATTCCAATCAAACATTCCACTTCAGAGATCATTCAGACATTGAATGCCTGGTTTATATGCAAGTTGCAAGGTAATAGAAATATGTTTTTACGGCTAAAATAAATTTAGACCATGATGCCGATGGTTTTCAGTAATTTTGTGCACTTTGAAGTCTACTTTCGTGTAAAGATCATATCAATAATTGCATAACTACACGTTGGAGGCTATGGTGATATATGATATGCATAGGTCCTGCACACTAGAAGCTCTGGTGATATCTGATATACACAGGTCCTGCACACCAGAAGCTCGTGATATGTCTGATATGCATAGGTCCTGCACACCAAAAGCTATTAATTATGTCAATTATATGAAGGATCTACCTCTCTGAGTTATAGACTTATAGATTCCGAATAGTGTTGAAACACATTTATTAATACAAAAAAAGACAAGGACAACCAGCTGTAAACTCGTGTTTCTGTAAGATTTCATCCTTACTCAAACCATCATTTGTAAAATAACCAGGATCCAGCAATAAGAATGTATGAACTGTGACCAAATAGAAAATTCCTTTCCAATCAACAAGATTAATAACCAAAGAAAAGAAAACAGAAAAAAAAAAAAAAAAAAAAAAAAGAGAGAGAGAGAGAGAGAGAGGAAAGTCTGATTTAATTTACAAGCGCTGGCCACTCAATCATGTGCCAGCATTGGGCAGAGCTGCCATAAAGGAATTGTAAGAAGACTCAAGATCAAAGTGAAGCTGCCGCGCCTGTTGTTCAGTTAACTCATCAGCTGCACCCATCTTGGATAACCTTGCAATCCATTCCTTCATTTTGGTTTTCCCCTCAAAATCAGGTGGCAGGATTGTCAACTTATTGAGTGAAGCATAAAGGTCTGAGAGCAACGGATGCACCTGATCCACAGCCACCATGTTAAGTTTCAAGGAATCCATAGATGTGATAAAATTCTGCACACACTCGGCCACAATAGCAGCAGAGGTGGATGTAGAGGCGGCGGCAGTGGCGCGATGCTCCACGGTAGCAGGCACACCAGACACCACAAGGCGGTTAATTGCTGCTGGGCACTCCATCTTGTAAGTATCTGCAAATCGCTCAATGCTAGGCACGGTGTCTTTAAGCGTGGAAGCTAAGGTTTTGAAATGAGCTATGAGCTTCTGGCACTCTAACTCATATTCCTGTGGTGAGATTATATCTCTAACATAGGCTTTCTCAAGCCTCTCAGTGGCCTTGATAATGGCATAAAGCTCGGCAAAGTTGTCATACATTTCCCTCTCGCGCTTGTCATTCCAGAGCTTAACCTCCATGGTAGTCATGAGTATATGAATACACTATATTCAGATCAGATTACACAGTGGTTCTTGGGATGGAGAAGAGAACGGGACACGCGCAAAGAGAAGGGTCCTTCACTGAAGAAAAAACACAAGACCCAAAACATGGCATGTTAACTTCTGCCAAGATCATAACATCAAAGGGGATCTAACAACTAAAATCACTATTTCATCACACCAACATCAAAATGCAAGCTAAATAAAATTCTCTCATATAACAATAACTAATTCAAGATAGCAAGCTAAACACGGGGTATGCAGTCTGGGTTTCAGAAAGCTTTTTCCCTTCAAATTGGAAATCGAGAACAAACGCGGTTATAATAATAATAGTAGTAACAAAACCATCGAAAGTTCTGAAATTTCCTTCAAATTTCTCAGCAACCAAACAACATGAGACACCAAGGAAGCATAAACATTGACGAAAACAAACGAATCAGCAGACAGGCATAAAAAAAAAAAACCTATGTGAAAATTCAGCCCCAAATCATGAAAACCCCGAATTCCCACAAAATCGTAAGGTGAGAAGCAAGAATCAAGAGAAAAAGCATCAACATGAAAAAGAAAAGAAAAAAAAATTAGAGGAGAGAGAGAGAGAGGCTTACAAGAACCAAAGACGTTATCGAATGGTGAGAGTGAGGTGCATTGGTTATGGTTTGTGTTAAGAAGGGAATGGATTGCATGAGATGAATCGGGTGCGGTACGGTGCACGGGAAAGAGAGAGAGGGGAGGGGTTGCGTGTGGGCTCCCACATATTATTATTGCTGCACTGCTTACGGCATCGACGTGTAGCAGTTGAAAACCAAACAAGTAATAAGCAAAGCAACGCTCAAATCTCAATGCTGCCTCTCCTCTTTTTCTGATTAATACAATATCTGACTCCATCTCCTTAAAATAAAATAAAATAAAAAATACTAATATTTGACTATTTCCTACACGTTATCTAATATCCCCATGAAATCACCATTTTTCTCTTTTCAATTTCATTATGTTTCAACCTAACCTCACCTAACTATTCTCAATTATTTTCTATACATATAAATAAAATTACTAATGTCATCAAAAAAAATACTCTATACATCAATATTACTAATCTAGATACTCATTTAATCACAAATCATCGATTTTTTTTATTGCAAAAGTTATCATATATAATAAATTTAATAAAATAAATTAAAAGAACTACTTAAAAATCATATGTATAATTATTTATAATTGGTTGATAGTATAAAACAATTGTATGTTCTTAATGTATATAACTGTTAAACTCTAAAAATCATTACATAATTTAATTATTTTTTTTATTCTTATAATTTCATAAATTTTTTTAATTGATGTTATCTACTATTATAAAGACTAAAAAATAATGCTTATGCTTATGAAACTATACAAACTAAAATAAAATAAAAGCGGTATATAAAAAAATTAAAATAGAATATTTTTAATTATAAGGATTAAAAAAATAAAATTTATAAAATTATAGTTACTGAAAATATAACTAAAACTAATTTAAAAATAGAACTCATACATTTTGTATTGCATGTTTACATTTTAGATACCTCATACCCTACACAGCTACACTAGCATGAATACTAAATTGGGATCTCCTTAACAAAAAAAATCAACTATTCAATCGTAGAAGTCCCTCCAACAATTTGATGATTTCACAATTAAGATTAATATTATTGTGCATTATTGCTTAGTGACAAGACACTGTCAACTTCATCTATTTGGATTTGTAGCTCGTAATTAAGACACCAAACTCACTTCATACTTTAAAGCTAGCTAGATTTTAATAGAAGTTAAAGAATGACAAATATTTTCTTGTTACACGTTTTGTTTGTAATACATAAAATTTTGTCTCTAAACACATTCATAATCTCCCGGGTGGTGCTTTAATTGCTTTTAATCTCGGCTGCAATTTTTCTTTCTTAGTTATTATCCAAGGACTATCATCATCTTTATATACTTTTTATTATTATTGATTTAGCACAAATATAAAAAAAATGTAATTATTTTACATATAAAAAAAATGCCTTTTTTAATTTCTCCGGTCTGTCTTCTTCTAAAATGGACGGACTTGAGAAGTTGCTATAAGAAAAGTGAGAGATTGGAGTTTTAGCCTCACATTTTACATATGACTTTGATAATTTAATTTTTGTAAAATTACAAATCATGAAAATGTAATCCAATAACAAATAAACATTGTTTAGAGTGGAATTAAAACATTCAAAGAAGTCAAGAACAATGGATACGTAAATGCCTCTTGGTATTTCATATCTTTCACGACTTTCTTTAGCTTTGTTATTAAAAATTTATGAAAGGCATGATATACAGTTTTTGTTTGTATACTTATTTCAAACAAAAGTTTAGCAGGAATTGTTTTATGAAATATTGTGATAATGAGTTATTTGAATCATAATAACAAATAGTGAACATGAGTGAATAAAAGTGGTGATATCAATAATGAGGTGAAACATAGAGTAATTTTTTTTTATATATAGAATTTTTTAGTTGTTGGGTATTGGAAGATATTTAGGCCTATGATTAGAAGAAAGAAGAAACTTGTGTTTAACTATTTAAAAGATAAGATTTTGCAGAATATTAACAATTAATTGAGTAAGCATCTTTTAAGGGGAGGAAGAGAAGTTCATGTTAAGGCTATGACTAAAATAATATCAACTTATTGCATGAGTATTTTTCTGTTACCCACTTCTCTAAGTGAATAGATTCAAAAGATGATTAATTAATTCATTTTGGTGGGGCAGCTACACAAGAACGGAGAGAGATATAAATTGGTTGAGCTAGGATCAATCGATAGTTTGTGAGGAAAATGGTGGTATAGGTTTCCACCATCTTTATGGCTTCAATTTAGCCACATGCTATGGAAGCAAGCGTGGAAGCTAGCTTTGGACCAGATGCTCTAGTATCCAGAGTCTTCAAAGTCAAATATTACCCAAGAGGGGGTCTTCTTGGAGGCCAAATTAGGCCATATTAATCCAAGCTTCATTTGACGTAGTATTCATGCAACCCAGGTATTGGTTAGAGAAGGTTTGAGGTAGCATGTTGGTTGGGGTCGAAGTATAAACATTTGGAGGAATATTCGTGATTAAGAATGTTGGGCAACTATTTTGTTCACAATTTACCACCAGTCGATATGGAAGAAATGTGTGTAGCATATCTGATTCAAGGTGAACATATCAGTTGGAACGATAACCTTATACATAGTATATTGTAGAACAGGGATTGTGAAGAGATTCTTAAAATTCCTCTTTGTCAAGATGCTGAAAATGATCCTGTAATGTGGTCCTTAAGCAAAGATTGGAGCTACTTTGTCAAGTCAGCATATTTTTTATGTCATGGAATGTATTGTTAATCTCTCACAAGTTAAGGTGCCAAGTAATTGGAAGGTTTTATGGAAGCTTCAAGTGCCTAACAAGGTTCACGTGTTTCTGTGGCAACTTATGTGGGATTACTTTCCAACCCATCATAGTTTGCAATCTAAGGGAGTGCAATGCCCTATTAGTTGTAGTTTATGTGTTGGTAACATAGAGAACGCTCAGGTTGTTTAGTGAGTTGCTTAAAAGTTCACATGTACCGGGTACACAATACAAGAAAAATGCTAATTAATGAAGGTTGAAACTCATTAATAAAAAAGAATATTCATTGTAAATAGAGGATTTTTTTACGATAAATAATAAATGCAATTCTGCCAAAAACATGGACATTAGAAAAAAAAATTATCAAAAATTTTTTACAACTATTTTTGTGAAAAAATATCCTATCTATAATTTTTGACAAAACGCAATCTAAGGGAGTGCAATGTCCTAGTAGTTGTAGTTTATGTATTGGTAACAGAAAACGCTCAGATGTTGTTTCATGAGTTGCCTAGAACTTCACAAGTAAATATATTAATTATCAACTGTTGTAATCTTGATAACAAGAAATATTCGTTAAAAATAATGAATTTTTAACGGATATGTGACAGACGCAATTCTGTAAATAAAAAAAATGGACATTTAAACAAAAATTGTCAATTTTTTTTTATATATTTTTGTGAAAAATATCTATCCATAATTTTTGATAGATATATTTATAAAAAATTACTAATTAAATTTATGTCAAAAAGTAATGGTTGCTTATTAACAACAAATACTCTATCAATAAAATGCACCATGTTTTCAATAGAGATATTTGTCAGTAATACATTTATCGATAATGACAAAATAAATTATTGTAATAAACTCATCGGTAAGTAATAAGAAAATTATCAATGAAAATTTCATTGATATAATTTGAATTTCTTTATGAGTTTATGACACATAAATTCGTTGATAATTTTCTTTTTTAATTTTTTGTATTTTATAAATTTATTAATTTAATCATTATACATTATTACAACCTGATCAACAATATTATATATATAAAAGAAACTTCCTCAATATAAATTTAAAAGAACATGCTTATAATTATTATAATAATCAATTATACATATTTATCAAAATTGGTAGATATTTAAATTTTTTTTATTAATATGTTTCATTTAATTTGTTAGAAATCTTAAATAATTGATTCATGTATGTTTATTAATTTTAATCATCTTATTATTACTCATAAAATATTAAACATTTTTTATGAATGTCAACAAATATTTCATTCGAAAACTATGAAATTTTTTGACACAACATTATTCATTACTAAAATTTTGTCAAAAAAAATTAGATTCAAACATTTGTCAGGAATATCCATAAAAAATTTCTTATTAGGTTAATCTAGTGTTTTAAAACTCGGTTTGAACTGGTCAAACCGAAAATCGGTCGAACTGAAAACCGGTGGTTTGACCAATCCGAACCATTGATCAAACCGGATGTGCAACTGACTCGGTATAACTCGATGTGACCCGGTTAAAATCTCGGTTGAACCATTGACTCGCGAGTTTCATGACCCAAATCGGGTCATCACTTTTATATATAAAAAAAAAGTTTAAACGACGTCATTTTTTATTTTAAAAAATTTAAGATTAGAATAAAAACTTCAATGCTGGGATTCACAACTTCGTAGAAATCTTCATGCTGCTAGTTATTGGTTGAATCCGGCTTGTAGATTTAATGATGAAGAATTCGAATAACATTTGTCCACAACATCTGGCCTTTTAGATGTGATTGAAAAGTATTCCCACGGAGATCCTGAGCTACGAAACAAATTGACTACTGAGATGAGAATATATAAAGATGCTGAGTTGGATTTTGGAAGGCAATCTGCTTTGTATGAAAGAAATACAGTTATGCCAGGTAACTTTCATAACTTGTGACTTTGTGATCCTTAATGTTTATTTAAGTTTAATACATATACTAATTTATTTCATGCAATATTCTAGATCAATGGTGGTAATCTTATGGTTGTGGTGTGCTAAATCTACAAAAGTTAGCTATCCGTGTTTTAAGTCAAACTTGTAGTGCTTCGGGTTGTGAACGTAATTAGAGTGTATTTGAGCATATTCATTCAAAGAAAAAAAATAGGTTGAAGCATTAAAAGCTTAATGATCTAGTTTTTGTTTGTTACAACTTGAGGTTACAACATAGGTATTATTATGTTTTTATTTATTTATTTTTGTATACTTTTATTTCTAAATACATGTGCTTAGATTTAAATACATTACATATTTACATGTGCTTAGGAAAAAGAGACATCAAAGTTATGATCTTATTAATCTTAAAACGCTTGATGACCATTCTAATTGGGTAATGGAGGATTCTCCACCATTTTTAACCAATGAAGAGGTGGATGCATTACGTAATGACCTTGCAAATATGACCATCCAACCAATTTCAAGTGATATTGGTATTTTTTTTATATTGTTATTTCATTATTGTTTATTTGTTATCACTAAATTTGTATTTGTAATTACTAACTTATTTCTAAATTATTGTCATAGATCAATTAAATTTGGATGAGGATGATGATGATAATGCACAAGCACAAGATGATACTATGAAAAACATGAATTTAAATGAAAACAATATTGATGAAGTTATTGGAGAAGGATTTGAGGTTTTTGATGAAGGAGTGGCGGCCACAACTTTTACTCCTTGGACATAAATACTTTATATAGATTTGTTTAAATCTTGTAGTTCAATTATGTTTAAATGTTATTTGTAGTTTTGACTTGTTATATGTTTGAACTTACAAGTCAGCTTGAAACTTCTGTGTGTTTTACTTTTTTGAAACTCATATTAGAACTTGTTTTATTTGCTTAAAATTCATGAATGACATTATAAAATTATGTTAAAATGTGTTTATAATTTTTTTTGAGTTTCTTTAAGATATGATGTAATTTTTTTTTTTTGAAATTTATAAGTATGAAATATGTATAACATAAATATTTTTAAATTTTTTTTAATGGAAACCGGGTCATGCGGTTTAATAGGTGACCCACCGGTCTAATCTCTGACTCATTGACCCAGTACCTTACCGATTTAATGACCAGATCATTTTTTAAAACACTAGATTAATTTCTTTGTGATTGACAAATATGGGTGGCATCCAAATCTAACAATAGATTCACAAATATATCTTAATTGATATATTTTTTTTCATAATAAATGTTATCATAGGTTTTTTTTCATAAATTGATAAAAGATAATAAATAAATAAAAAATACTAATTTTACAAAACATGAGAGATGATACTTATTTTAAACTTTTTTCTTTTTAACGGAGTACTGGAACAGTAGTTTTTTTTTTTTTTTTTTTTTTTTAAGGATTACCACCTTTAAATCATACTTATCCAGATTTTTTTTTATTAATATTTAAGTGTATGGTCATTGAGCTCAAAATATAATTAAGCAAAAGAAAAGAATAAAAAAAAAATTTAACTGGGCGAAACATGTTTTATCATGTAAAAGAATTTGACACTGGTCTTGATCTTACAGGTTAAACCCAATGAGCGTTTCATTCTTTCCGGTTATGGTAGAGTAATTTGAATCGTGGTGACTCCCATGACACCTTGTCTTTTGATAAATGACACTTTAGGAAGTTACTTGTTACTTGGGTTTTGGGTATTTAGGAATCTTAGGCTTAGCAAATTAGGAGAAAAATCATTTGTACAACATGTATAATCGGAGAGTGATAGTGTTGTTTCTTTTGTTGCTGATTCCACTGCCAACTGTTCTGGGTTGGGGAAAGGAGGGTCATTATGCCATCTGTAAGATATCACAGGTAAGGTAACCATACCACACTACTCGTTCCCTTTGCATCTCTTTCTATATTCATTATCAATATCTCAATTATTCATAATTTGGTCTAAATATTAATAGATGGGACAGTTAAGTGTACAACATGCCATGATCTATAAACTATGAGTATTGATGCTTAAATGAAGGGCCAGATAGAATTTTAGGTAGTATAACCTGTTTTGGGGTTTTTCTATATGTTTATCCTGAGACTGCAGTGCTGATAAAATTTTCTTGGATGTTTCAAATTCTAGGGTTATCTTAGTGAAGATGCTTTATTTGCTGTCAAACAACTGCTTCCAGATTCTGCTGAAGGTGATCTTGCTGCAGTTTGCTCTTGGGCTGATCAGGTTCGCTTCCATTATCGTTGGAGTAGTGCTTTACATTATGCTGACACTCCCGATTTCAAGTGTAACTATGAATACTGCAGTGAGTTGGTTTGGCCCTTTGGTTCATTGGTCTGGATGAAATTGTTGTGTATTTTGATTGCTCAATGGTCACGCGTTTTTCAAGTTACTATGATGTGTTTCTCCTGATTCTTATAGGAGACTGCCATGATTCTTACAAACGTAAAGATAGGTGTGTTACCGGAGCAATACAAAATTATACAATGCAACTTAAATCAGCTGATGTAGCAGGCACTTCATCTGAATTAAACTTAAACTGTATGCATTCAAAGAGTATACTCTTAACTTGCTAGTGGATAGGTCCTTTAATTTACTGTTCTGATTCTGCCTTTATCAATTACAGATAATTTTACTGAGGCACTTATGTTCTTGGCACATTTTGTTGGGGATGTTCATCAGGTTTGTTCTCTGTAATTCCTGTTTAAAATCTTATAAAAAGACACGTGATTATTGCTTCAAAAAGTAAATATGATTTTTAAATCTTTTGTCCTTGATCTGCATGAGTGGAAAACTATAGTTTGAGTTTACCTATGGGTAGGTAAGTTGAGAAATGAGAACTTGAAAGTTTAAAGCAGGCATAGGTGGGAATGAGTCATGATATTATTCCTTACATGCTATGTGAAAACAATCACACAGTTCAATGTGTTTCTTTCTTTTCCAAACTTGTGCTTTAAAGGATTTGTTTTCTATTCCGATTTTTTCCGTTGCAGCCCCTACATGTGGGTTTCACTGGAGACCTAGGTGGAAACTCAATAGCAGTTCGTTGGTACAGAAGGAAAACAAATCTTCATTATGTAAGTGTTCTAGAATCAAATTCTATGATTGTTGATGACTTTGATGCAGGCTGATTGCCTGCTGTTAATTGTATTAGGCATTTTTTTTCTCCCATTGTTTGCATTGTTTGGGATTGACTAAAATTTTTCTTTTTTTTCATATTCTTTTATCAAGGAATCATATTTTTCTAAAAGCTTTTTTTTTCCTGTATTGGAGCTCTATATGATTATTGATTACGCATGCTGTTGCTTTCTTGATTGTTGTGGGAAAACAGGTTATATAGGCAAAGAGAAGATTTAGTATCTCTATCACTTCTTTTTTTTTTTTAAAAAAAGGAATGAATTTTAATTTTAATTCTATTTATGCATGCAGTTTGCACTGGTTCTTATTTCCTACATGTTACCAGGCGTTGAACTATTAATTGGTTAGGTGGTTTGTTAGTTGGTAGTTGCTGCTTCAATAAGCTCTATACATATATCACTCATTTGTATCTTTTTCATACCAATCAATACAACGACACACTTATATTGAAAGTCCTTCCTTATACTTTGAGGTTTATGATTTTTGGCCTCATCAACTTGAGCTCACTTGCATCTCCTTTCAAAATTCCGATACCACAGTTAGCATTTGATGCCAAATTTAAAGAAACCTATTTGTATTCTCTCATGCTGTAGGTAAAAGATGCACCTACTCTTGAAATTACTTCGTAATGACATTGTCACTAAGATGTTCTACGTATTCATGCAATCTATCATAATGCATTAAATTGAATAAATCCAGTGATTTTGTTTTGGTACAGGTATGGGATGACATGATTATTCAGTCAGCTGTAAAAACATTTTATGATTCAGATCTTTCTATTATGATTCAAGCTATTCAAAGGAATATTACAGTGAGTTTTATTTAAATGATGAAGATACCTAGCATAGATAATTGCTTGGTCTTGTGATATAAATACATATAGGCGCAAGAGGCTGACTATTATTTTTACTCACTTTCTGTAGGATAATTGGTCAAATGATGTATCAACTTGGGAACATTGTGCACACAACTACACAGCCTGTCCAGATCGGTAGAAGCATAATACATTTCCTGTCTCACCATTTTATCATTTTACTCTCTAGTTTTGTATGAGTGGTTTGCTTAAACTGGTTACACTTTTCTTTTCTTGGTAGTCAATATTTTTATGTATATTGGCAGATTTATATTCATTTCTTGTGCCTCATTGTCATAATTCTGCACCTTGAAAACCTTGTGAATTGTTGAAGTTGAAATACTTATCTTAAACAATCACAACAATAATTGGTCCCTGTAGCCTATCTCATCTAGTGGGATAAGGTTGTCATTGTTATTGTTGTATATTTAGATAGGCAGGGGCTCCCCTTGTTTTGCGATATTATCATATTACTATTAACTACAATACTTTTTGCATACAAGTGACATATAGAAATTGCACATCATGATTTGATTGGTTACAACTTACAATTCAGGTATGCTTCTGAAAGCATTAGCTTAGCATGCAAATTTGCCTACAGGAATGCTACACCAGGAAGCACTTTGGAAGGTATTTCCTATTTTCTCATCTATAAATAAAATATTAGAGGAACTCCATAATCTTCAGCTAAAGATTTCCGGTGTGTTTGCATTTATGTCTTGATGTGATTTTTCATATCCAATTTGAAGCGATAAATATCAGCTTCCACGTAAATCAGACATTTGGACATGGAGAGAGAAGAAGAAATTGTGTTACGAAATTGATACCAAACACACACTTCCTCTTCCCCTTCTATTATGGGTGGTGTTGTTTTTTGAGCCTCTTTGTTTCCCTTAGCTTTGAGTTTCATTGTTTGATATGAAGAGGCCGAAGGGACTTTTTCCCCTTTTGAGTAAATATATTTCTTTTTGTTTGTCTGTTGTGTTCTTATTCTACTTTAGGAGGATTGTTGGTCCCAATGCATTACATTATTTTTCTTCTACTGAATAATAATAAAAATAAACTCCATAATGTGTATCACATTTTTCTCTGTACCTGAGCATGACCCATACAATGCACCAAACTATTCAACATTAGATGATTGCCACCCCTGTACACTTCTTTATTTGGTTTCGTAATATCTAAAGGATAATCCCTCATTCTTTGTTATTATATTCAATAATGTAGACGAGTACTTCCTTTCTCGGTTGCCTATTGTGGAGAAAAGGCTGGCTCAAGGTGGTGTGCGACTTGCAGCCATCCTCAACCGTATTTTTACTTCCAAAACCAGAATCGCTCAAGCTTGAACACACATCATCAGGGGATCATTCATGGTAAACATAGCTGTCACTTGGGCGTGTACAAATTGTTAACTCTTCTAATATAAAGTAGCACAATTATTGTTCTTGACTTGTGTATGTGCCTATTCATTAAGCCTTGTGTAAAGGACAACGTACTTGATTTGGACTAGGCACTAGGCACTAGGCATGTGAAACTGCCAAAGCATTACGCTGTCACTGATACACTCACAGGGTCCCTACCGGTGATGTCATTAATGGTCTCAAAAAGATTAGGGATCATGGATTGGATAGTTCATGGGTCAGACCCATTTATTTATATTAAGTAATGAAATTAATTTCGGATCATTGTAGAAGCTACCATTCTGTATCTATTGGAGGTGGAAATCTTGTTTCACCAATCTTATTGTATATTCAATTGTTTACAAAAAAAGGATCAACATAGGTCAATGCCTCTACATGGAACCATTGATACTTTTACTCCATAAGCAGAAAAAAAAAATGCAATATGAACATGATGAAAAGCTAGTCTGCAAAGTCATCAACAATTCTCCTCAGGTTGTTGTTTTTTGCTGCACTTTTTTTTCCCTAGTAAAAGTATATAAACACATGCATAGTACACTCACTGAATTGACATTTTTCATTTTTTTATTTTATTTTATCTTTTCCTGTGATTGAAAATGACACTTAGTTGAAATATATAAACATCACGACATTGGCGACCCTTTCACTGCTTGTATGTCTCTTCTCTCTAATTTCTGTCTTTGCTTCTTTTTTCCTCGATACGAACCAGTATTTGCTTCTCACTTTGATAATTTATTCTATTTAAATTATAGATTTGCTTAAATAATTTTGTTTTGACGTTGTATAAATGGAATATCCTTTCCGAAAGAAATAATTGGTGGAATTGGATGAGAAAGATGTGATGAGTGCGAAGTTCACCTGACATGGATTCAATCTGAGTATTGAGTTTCATAAATTTCGGAACCTCAATCCATTAGTAAAAATAAATTTCAGAAACAAAGTTCTTGGACATGTAGCAATTACTATAATTAAATCCTCAAATTTACTTTCCAAACAAGTAAGGTTAATTTAATAATAAAAAAATAAATAAAGGAGTGTCTAATAAGGAGATGGGGCAAAGTGCAAATAGCAATTCCCTTCAACGATTTCATTGCTACCCATTTGTGATGATACTATCTTTTTTCGGTGAATGTATAGTCCATGTCATCAACTAAACGAACAATCAACTACAATAATTGTTTAAAAGAGGAGTAATTTTAGAGGAATAATTAAAAACAAATGAGGATGTGATCGGTAATATAAGAGTTTTTCACCTAAATTTCTTAAGTTTTATTAATATAAAGATAAAGATACACAAAAAAAAAAAATTACGAAAAAAGTTAAGGATTTGTGAATGGATGATACTACAAAATAATTTTACATTATCAATGTATTTTTTTTCTTCTCATTTTTAAAATGATAAAAGTTAGTAACATTTTTTTTTGATGAACCAAAGTATCTCTGCCCAAAGTTAAAGACCACTAATCATGTCATATGTTTTTGGTGAAAGTGAGTGACAAATGTAATGATAATAATAACGTGCTATAAAAAATATAACAAAAAAAAGTTACATTTAAAAATAAAAGTCTAACACTCGGCCTTTAATTGTCAACATAGAATGTATTATTTACATTGACTTTTAAAAAAAAACATTTTTTTTACTCGATTTGTATTAACCTTTATTACATATGCTATTGACAAGTCTTTCTACAATGAATTATACTATAGACTACAGACAGAAGAAAACAACACCAAAAACAGTCACAAAATAGTCCATTTTATCTCCACGAAGTCTATATCTCTCATTCTCTTGCACATTCCCTTGGGCCTGAAAGCCCAATAGGCGCCTGCACATATTTTGGCAAAAGAAAACAAAAAATGTTTCCGCAATAACAGGAGGTTCAGGAAGATTTAGGATGTGTTTGTTAAGTAACTGAAAAACAACTCACCACTCTTTGGCTTTTCTACATTGAAAAGTAGAAAAAGTCCTTTGAAGACGCACTTAGATTTGAGGGCAGAACGCATTTCATTTGACACGCAAGCACTGACGTATGATTTTCAACCGTTGATCAAATCAAAGTTCAACACTGCGTCGCCACCAAAGTTATATTTGAACATCTGCGGGTTAGTTATAAGCAACTCCCTGTGTTACATCATTGCTAAATCAGCTATGGCCTATTTTATGGGTTACTTAAATTTTAACAAAGCTGTTTTTACAAACAACTCTGTTAAAATTTAAACAACTCATAAAGTTAATCAGAACTGATGTGACAGTGATATGACACAAGGGGTTGCTCGGAGATGCTCTTATACTGCATCTTCTTCGACTTTGACCACTAGAGTCAATGAGTCATGGAGCACGTTACAAGTTGTCTCATTGAAATGGAAGTTTCCAAATATGGTAAAAGATGGAATGACTCAAACTCCTATCTGTCCTCCACCTTCTAAAACATGAAACCCATTTCATAGGGGCAGAATTGTCTTTGCATCCCCGTATAGGAATAACATAGAGAATATACACCTGATTCTTTTCCTATTTATTTTGGCAACATTTCACTTTGAATTTTTCTGCATCAGTAATTTCAAATATTTTTATGATCAATATAATTATTTTTATGTTTTTAAAATATTAAATAAATTTTTTATTTAAATAAAATAGGGAGTTTTGCTTTCAGTTTTTTTTCTTCTTTCAATTTTGCCCTTATTTTTTTTTTATTTAAAATTTTCGTTACGTTCGTTAAATCTATAATAGAGAAAAATTTAAAAATTATAGGATCAAAATATAAAAGGCAAAATGTTATAGAGACCAAAATTTGAAAAGACCAAAAATAAAAATAATTAAAATTTAAGAGAATCAAAATAAAAATAACTAAAATTAAGAAGATTAAAACGAAAGAAGCCATAGCTTATAGGAATGTCTATACATCTACTTCAGTCAAATTAATAAAACTTATACACAATGCATTAATTTGGTGTAAGAAAAATAACCCTATAACAAATGTATTAGTAACTTGTAAAAAAATAGTAAAAATTAAGCGCACAACTTCATTATATAACACGAGGTGAGTGCATCATTATATAACTTCTATGAAATTTTGTTTAAGATTTAATTTCATCTTAAAAAAATTTAAATGGTCACTAAGAATTAAGATTTTATACCATATTAATGCAAATTAAGATTCTTTATAAATTTAACTTATAAAATTTTAGTTATTTTTGTTTTGGTCATTTTAAATTATGGTATGTAATTTTTTTGCCTATTCTTTGTTAAATATAAGGTCAATTTAAGGATATGAAAATGAAACATTTTTTTTTATAGAAATGAAATTGATTTTTTTTTTTAAAATAAAAGTAAAAATAAGCCCATATTTTACTAGAACTATAAATTTATTTCAGTCAATATTTATTAAAATAATTTATTTTCTGGCGTAAAATATTAGAAAGTACTATTAAACAGTTTTATTTACGTATATCAAATAAAAATAGACATTATAATACCTTAAAAATATAAATATTTATTTATTTAATAATTAAAAAGTATTAAAAGTTGTGGGAAGAATTGAATTATTCTTTTTTCCTGCATACAATCCATGTTTTATACAATAATAACATGTTGACCTAATGCATTATGCATGGCATACTGCTCAGTACACCCTATTTTCTTCGGTAACAAGTGAATGTACTTTGTCACATCGGAATGGGTTATAAGATACTATTAATGACTACGTTTTCTGCACGCATCGTATTTAACCTAAAAAACTTAGCTACCATAATTTAATTGCCACACCGTCAAAAACTTCTTCAATCTTTGTCTCCAGCTACTTCATTACCAAACCAAAGGTTACTTCTCAAATATCATGCATCAATCATCATGCCTGTTATTTTCAATTTCATTGCATATGTTGAATAGATTATGGAAATATATAAGTTGCTCTTTCTGCTAATGTATTTTTTTTTCTTTGGTCATGCTTTTCTTGTGAATTTCAGCATTCATGTTATATTGATGTGTTTGTGACATTGTTTCTCACCGATTTGTCGCCGTGACAAACCAAATTGGTGATCTTTCTATGCGTTTGTTTTATTAGTAGGCAGGTAGTAAATTTGCATTGATTGGTCATATTCATTGAATGAAACTTCTAGTCCTCTCAATTTTGTTTTCAATGCAAACTCATTGACTATTTTAAATCTCACATGAAAAGAGTTTCAATAAATTTTCTCGATCTTCATCTCACACCATCTAGAGGCCATACAAAAGTTTTTCTTAAAAAAATAATAAAACGTTGGACTATTAGCTGTACAAGAGTGAAAAACCTCGGTTGTGTGACTTATGATGAATCACTCACAGCATAGTCTCAAGGATTTATTTGACAATGTAACTCGCTTAGCGGTTTGTTCAATAAGATCATTTTCTGCGGATAATATGTTTGATGGCGTCATCCAGATCCAGTAAAAAAAAAAAATGTTTGATGGCATCACCAAAAAACGTTGATGTTTTTTAGTGTACATCATATTCCTTATGTCTGCGTCAAATTCGATGTGCCAGATACTTGCACGAAATATTGTAAAATCAGTTACAATTTTTAGAGTTTCTAAACTTTATCGGGTTGATTTCTTTTGGTAATATGGGGCTCTTTGTATACGCCAACCTCTGATGCGCAAAGCTAAATTAACTTTTGTTTTGTTGTCCCATATTCTAGGAATTGATGGTAGCTAACTTGTCACGAACTGTGGATTTCTTTGCAACCCTCAAACTCCCTTTTGTCTCTGCTCTCGTTCTGAAGCACCTAATTGCATGCCATGTCGTGTATATAACTTGTTAATTCTTGTAGAACATTTCATTTTTCTACTTGGTGCTGTTCAAACTTGAAGCACTAACCTGGACTTTCGATCTTTTCAGAAAGCTTAGAAAGTGTAAAGGCTTGTCCCCTGAGCTTGTTCTCTGACAATGGCATTGGCAAGGATTGCCAGGGCTAACCTGAGAAGATCAGGAGGTGCTTTAGGCAGTTATGCGTGTGAGAAGGATGTGTTCAATGTGGGAGGTTACACAAACATATGCTACATACCTTCCCATGTATATTTCAATTCAGATGGAAAGTTTTCATATGTTCCAACAGTTAAGGAACAGAATTACGTGAACTTTTCAATGAGGGGAATATCAGGAACGCCATATCATCTGTCTGCTTCTCCTGATACACAGAGGGTTATAGAAGAGTCTGATTCAGAGTTGGAGAATGATCAGACAAGATATGCAGGACTAGAGGCAACAAAGCCAGGTGAAAAGCCTAGGGTGGTTGTTCTTGGTACGGGTTGGGCTGCTTGTAGGTTCCTCAAAGAGCTAGACACCAGAATTTATGATGTTGTGTGCATATCACCAAGGAATCACATGGTCTTTACTCCTTTGCTGGCTTCAACGTGTGTTGGAACCCTGGAATTCAGATCTGTTGCTGAGCCTGTCAGCAGAATACAGGATGCATTGGCAAGGGAACCCAACTCCTACTTCTTTCTAGCTTCCTGCACTGGCATTGACACTGACAAACATGAAGTGAGTAAAATGATATACATCCTTTTGGCCTTTGTTTTCTTTTTAGACATTCGAAAAGTCATGGAATGCTCAATGTGAAGTATATAAACTTATGTTTGTACAAAATGTTTCTAAATATAAAATGCTGCAGTGCACTCTGAAGTTTTTCTAGTGAAATGCCTACTCATTTTATTTCATGCTAACAGGTATATTGTGAGGCTGTCAAAAATGGTGGATTGCCTCGAGATCCATACCAATTTAAGGTCGCATATGACAAACTTGTAATTGCAGCAGGAGCTGAGCCTTTAACTTTTGGTATCAAGGGGGTAAAGGAAAATGCTTTTTTTCTTCGTGAAGTGAACCATGCTCAAGAAATAAGGAAGAAACTTCTCCTTAATTTGATGGTTTCCGAAAATCCAGGTGGGTATTTCATATCCATCATAGTTTATTTTTAAGTATTCTCACTGTAGTTTTTGTCATTTTGACAGAAAACAAACCTTAGTGATGCCACACTTCTGTGTCGTTCACATAATCTATTTTAGTATTATTCTTCAGCTGGATCCATTTAATGTTGTTATACAGGATTTATATTTTAATTATTCACTTTGTATTAATAACTATGCAATTGTCATTTTCTTACTGAAGCTTAAACTAAGAACGCTTTCATGTAACAGGAATATCGGAGGAAGAAAAGAAACGCCTTCTGCACTGTGTTGTTGTTGGAGGTGGTCCTACAGGAGTGGAATTCAGTGGTGAATTGAGTGATTTCATCATGAGAGATGTTCATCAGAGCTATACTCATGTCAAAGATTACATTCACGTCACACTCATCGAGGTACCTGGCTGAATTCACTTCCATATATTAAGGCCAATTTGTGAGTAGAGATTAAAATCAACTTACTTAACCATTATGTTGACTTTTTATGATTAGGCAAATGAGATACTGTCATCCTTTGATATCAGCCTACGGAACTATGCAACAAAGCACTTAACAAAGGTAAACCTTTTGAGTTTTGATCATATATTTTAATCTGTCTAGCTTAGCCACTAGCTCATGGTTTCAACTTTCAACATTAAGCCTGAGGCATTCAATTTTTTTATCAGTCCGGGGTCCGTCTGATGCGAGGTGTTGTGAAGGAGGTGCATCCCAAAAAGATAGTTCTAAGTGATGGAACAGAAGTTCCTTATGGCCTCTTGGTCTGGTCCACAGGGGTTGGTCCTTCTAAGTTTGTGAAAACACTAAATCTTCCTACATCTCCATGTGGAAGGTATGTGTAGCCAAAATAAAAACATTGTTACTCATTTTCTTTCTGTGATCATCATTTAATTATTGTTGTTGATTGATACAGAATTGGCGTTGATGATTGGCTGCGTGTTCCCTTTGTGGAAGATGTCTTTGCTCTTGGGGATTGTGCTGGTTTTCTTGAACGAACTGGAAAGCCTGTGCTTCCAGCTCTAGCTCAGGTTAGCCTTTATCCATAATGTTTCGCGAAGTGATACGGACAAACTACAAAGTGGTCAAGAAATTAACCAAATAAAGTTAAATCTATGCTGAACTATAATGTCCTTTTAAGTTGTATTCAATGAGAAAAATCCCAGAGAGTAACTGGACGTACTTTCCAGTTGCTGTTAACTTCTATTTATGTTTATTCCCGAGCATGGAACGATATAAAGCCTCTTTCTGATGATTCTTTCGGTAGCTTCTCAGGAGGCATACTAAAGAATGTCTACTTCTATGTACTATCTATTTGTAGAGTTCAACTATTCATGTGAACTTTCGTTGTTCACATTATACTGAAACATAAGATATTTTTCCTCTGAATCTAGGCAAGTCATTCCCTGCAATCAGCTAGGCTGATGAATGAGTAATGACGTTGTGCACATCAAAACAGTAGTTACCAGCAACTAGGCATTCTAGTCATAATACATTTCCATAGAAGTTTGAAAGCTTCTACTCTATTCAATGCTGGAAAAACAAGCACCGAGAGGTGTTCATGTCCCATGAACTAGTTAGTAATTAACAACGTATTGGTTAATTACAGGTTGCTGAAAGGGAGGGGAAGTTTCTTGTGGAGTTGTTCAACGAAGTAGGGAAACAGAACGGAGGCAAGGCTTTCTCTGCAAAAGACATGCAACTTGGAAAGCCTTTTGTGTATAACCATCTTGGGAGCATGGCATCAGTAGGTCGCTACAAAGCACTTGTTGATCTACGAAAGTCAAAGGTATTATTATATAGGAATGTTTCAAAATTCTATCTTTAATCTCTACTAAGTTTGAGGGTTGGAGTTGTATGCAAAGATAAAAAACTAAGCAAAGTAAAAATAATTTGATTATATGTATATTACGTAGGATGCAAAGGGGTTGTCACTTGCTGGTTTTGTTAGCTGGATGATATGGCGCTCTGCATACCTTACACGTGTCGTTAGCTGGAGGAACAGGTTTTACGTGGCAGTGAACTGGGCCACCACATTAGTCTTTGGCAGAGACAACAGCAGGATAGGTTGAAATTTCATTGAGGAACTGCAAGCAGCAAAAACCTGTCAATTTTTATGCCTCATTATTTAAGTTCTTGGTCTATAATTTTTTTTTTTTTTTTTTAATTTCTAACAATAGGGAAGTAGGGAACTTAAGTCTTTATCTCAGTCTCTATCCATTAGGTTGATTCACATTCTTTTGATCTGTGTATTCACTTATTTGTATAAAGGTAGTAATATATAAATATAAAAAAAAGATAAATTTCATGATTAAAATATTTTTCGAGAATCTATTCTTCATATTTTGTGCTCATAATAATAAAAAAGGCTTTTCCCAATTCATTGTAAAGAATTTACAGTTGATAACCTGACAAACTTTTATGAAGGATGGGAACAGACTGAAGTGTTTCTATTTTTGGAGTATCCAGTAATTATTATAATTATTTTACTATATAATTAATGAATATAATTATTTCTCTAAAAATAATATAATTATTAAGAATATAGTATATTTATGATTTTTTAGTGCAATCAATTGAATTTTTTTTTACAGAAAATTAAAAATAAAACTTATTTAAATATACACAATTTTATATCCAATCACATGTAACTAAAAGATTTTATAAAATGACTTCACTGTTCAATAAATTTAAGTATGATAAGTAATTTTTTAAGACTGTTTTATTTGTCAATATAATTCAAACTCATAAATTTAGTGAATAAATCTTAGAAAATTTTAAAATTTTTAATTATTAATTATTTAAATAATAGTTATTTAGAGAAAAATTTAATTTATCAAAGCCACATATAAAATATAAATACTTTAAATTGATTTTTCGGATTATACTTTTATCTTGATTTTCTTTATATGATCGATCATAGTTTTCGACTATCAATCAATGTATTTTCTAATTGCGTTAGAAATTCAATGTGAATCATCGGAATGATAATCTATTTAAATCGTGTCTAATACTATATTTCATTAAAAATGTTATCTTTAGTGTATAGCACTTATTTGAAGAAAATTGACATATATATATATATA